TTTTTTTTTACCGTCGACGTACAAAAATTGAGCTTTATAATCTGTGGCTTATACTCTGTCTTCTGTCATGCTGATAAATTGGCCTTCTAATCCCGGAAACCATGCTTATATTGCCAAATCTGCTAGTCTAATTGTAACTCCTCTTCATATATATTTTCGCATGGTGTTCTCAGTAAAACATCTTGTTTCTGAAGCACTGTGTATCTAGTACCATAGCACCTTCTTCGCAGTTGCGATTTTTTACTCCTAGAATTTACTGAGTGGAATGTTTAAAGACAAATTTTGGCCCTTTATTTCCACACATAAGCTCAAACCTGGTATTTTTCCCTTTTTCAGAGCCGGGTTAGAGAGTTGGAGGATCTTCTGGACCTGGAACGCGATGGCCGTGTCCGCGTAAGTTTACTTTTCTAAACTGTTTCATCTGAAAGTACCACACACCGATCAGCGAATCATTTCTGTGCAGATCTTCCCCCCCTCCCATTTTAATGCAGTGGCTCACATTTAGCTCGAACGAGCGGTTAGCATACATCTTCTGGCGAGTCTATTAGACTGTTATAGCATTTGATCCATGTGCTACTTCATACCTTCCTCGTGGTTATAATGAAAAAAAAATTGTCTGAAGATTGCGCAAGATGGGATGTTTGTTGAAAACTTTGCCTGCTCTCCAGAGAAAGGCATTTTTTAAAATCATTTAGTCAGCCGTAAAGCTTTCATCTCAGAACTATTTTGCAAGTTATTTGTTCCTATACATGAATTTGCCAATAGTTGGCTCGTGAAGGGCGCCATACAATGTAAACTGAGCGAGAGACGGCGAAAGGAATGAAAAATTTACATGAGTCAACATGACAATTTCGCTCGTTAAGCAAATACGAATCCCTAGATACAGTTCAGAGTGGGACTTTATAGCCGGTTGGTGAATTTACTGCTCTAGCGTTTCGGACCCACACTCGAAATTATCATCGTACATGCATCCCTTGGGTTTCCAGTATATTTATCTGTTGTTCCCTCCACTAACGAATCCGAGTTTCGATCTGAAACTTCAGAAGAATACAACGTTTGCGGTAACGATTGCATCACATGCTCGGATCCACTAATAGCAGAACTAGGACGATCATTCCCTTGCATTTTCTAAACAAAGCACATCGTTTCCTCTTTGGTATTGCCTGGAATTAAACTTTTGAGGTAAATAGAGAATAAATATTGATAGCAGGGAGTTTGTTCCACAATATAAAAAGGTCGGTTAGTGACCCGTCATCCATACTAGAGCGATGAAACGTAATATTAATATAATATATAGATATTTACAATGCAATATATTAGATATAATTATATGTTATGAGTATTCATTTTGAAACCACTTTTCTTGATAAGACTTATAATGGGATTATTTCTAGGGGCCGCAGCGTGGTGCTTCACGCTTTTTAAATTTAATTCTTTAATATATATATATATATATATATA